CCAGGCGCCCCCCTCCAGGCCGGAGGGCCAAGCCGGCTGCCAAGAACTGGAGTCCGTCCCTCCAGGTTTTCCTGCCTCTCTTCCTTCTTCCCAAGCCGCCCCTCGGCGGTGGTGGGCCCATTGCACCGGCTGGCAGAGCGAGGCCGGTGCGAGCCGCATAGGTACAGCCGGACTTCAGAGCCTGAGCTGAGGTCCTGTGTCGTCCGGCTTCACTTCCCAGTTGGGAGATCCGGCAAGTCACGGCTGTCCTCAGCCGCAGTTTCCTCACGTGTAAAGTTGGAAGAGGAGATGGAAGTGGGGAAGAGGGCGAGATGGGGCTAGTACCTGGCTTTTGGATTTGGTGGGGAGCAACAAGCGTAGATCCAACACCCCCCTCTCCCTCCCCCCCCCCCCCCGACCCAGCCCCACCCCATCACAAGGGCTTACAGAGGACTAGGCGAGGCTGTGAATTCGGTCTGCTTTCTCCCAGATAATGGCTGACTTTATAACCTTAGCCAAACCACGGTTCGATTCCGTAGCGTTGGAGAAAGACCAGAAACTACATGTTTTCTGGTTGGATGATTCTGGGATTATTCCCGAACAAATCAGAGCCCCTGCCCTCTGGTAATGCATAATCTGGTAAGGAAGATACGGAAGAAGCGCATTAACAGGGGAGAAAGAAAACAAAACCTGAATTATTCTGTGGTAACAACTGAGAAAACAGACAGATATTGACATTGGGAACTGTAGAGTGATCTGCTTACAGCTTGAGGTCTGGGAAGGAGACAGAACCCTAGATCTGAAAGAAGGAAGGGAGTAGGTAAAGGGTGGGGAAAGAACAGAATTCCAGGAGCAAGGAAATCCACGTGCCAAGGCCCTGCGGTAGCATTAAACGCAGACAGACTGGGAGTAAGTGAAGAGCTGAAAAAGAATAAGTGTAGCAGTAAAGGTTTAAGTTCAAAGTGCAAGTCACCTTCATAGGCCGTTTTCCACCCCCATGGGTTGATCTGTGTTTAGCAGAGAGAACTTGATGTAGGTGCTAACACTCTTCCCTGTGTAACATCTAATAAGCCAGTTCACATCCTGGCATGCACTGGTTCATTGCACTTGGTGCTAATAATCCCAATAGTTCCACCATGCCACACATGCCAGAGGATATCCTGATGGCTTGTATTAAGCAACTCATAAACCCTCTCCCAGTGTCAGGGGCCAGTCGGGGTGGCTGCAGTATCTCTACTCGAGACGTAAGTTTGGGAGAGAGCAGAAGGTACAGGTGCAGAACTCCACTCCACTGGGAGTTGGGGCATCGTAACTTGGAGGCCTAGCTTTGTAGTGAAACAGCATTGACAACTGACAGCTAGTGTTCTGGGGTTGCGGGCAACAGGTGGGTTCTGAGTTAAACAGGGTTTAACCCTGCATTGGCAGGGTTATCAGGTTTTCACAGAATCAACGGGAAGGACAGGTACTCGTGCTCTGAGAAGCACAGGAAAGAGGCGAGGCTCTAGGGTCTCACTGGCACGAGTGAATGATAACACTGTGGCAAATGATGGAATTGTGTCAAGACAAATACACCCACATGGAACTTTCCATGGCCAGGTACTTCTCTACATGTGTAACAGCGATGAGGTACAATCTATCATTGTCCTTATTTTACACATGAAAAAGATTAAGGCACAGAGTGGTTACACAGCTGGCCCAGTATTAGGTAGCTATAAACAGTGGAGTCCAGAATTGGACAGGGGGAACATTTCTAGGAATCATGCTACTAACTACCTTCCTGTGCTCCCCCAGTGAATCTTAAGGCTTGTGTCACTTCTTACTAGACTCAAAGTCTTAAAAGAGAGATTTGAATTGGGCTACGTGTCCAGGGTCCTGATAATACTGAACATATCAGGAATATAGGTCACCCAGAAGGAAGCGCATTCCTGAGATGAGTGGGAATGGACCTGAAATGGCTTATAAGGCACTAATTACAGTCTACCTCTTGGCCTCTCAACATCCTTTGCACCTTAACTGCTGTGCATGTTCTCCAAAAATACTCTCTGATAATATGCTTCAACTCCACATGCAGCCAAAAGATGTACACACACCCTCGTATGATATGGCCCCATACTACATGTGACTTGGGGGGGGTCACCTTTCCGAGTCTCAAGAGTCGCCCTTACAAAGGATGGGTCATCTTACCAAGACAATAATATTTACTCCCTCATAGGTTTGTGGTGAAGATTCATTCAGTCAGTGAGTAAATATAAAATGGTTTGCACTGTGCCTGGTTCAGCAGAATTAATATACAGCACGTAAAATGATGTTGTTTATGTTAGGGGCCAATGATTGTGAAATCAGCCTTCAAAACACAGGCTGAAGGATGGGACTGGACTTGGTATGTCTCCTAGGGATTTTCCAAGGGCAATACAACTATTCACTTCCTCCCTCTTTGGTAAATGAATAATGGCAAGATATTCTAGTCTCTGCTCTCGAGTTTGAGAAACAACAACATCTGTCACTGACCTGATGTATGTGGAATGGAGAAAGGGGAGCATATGAAATGGGTTCTGTTACTGACTTGCTGTGTAGCTCTGGGTAGATCCCTCCCCTCCTGGAACCACAGTTTACTCAGCATAACATGGAGGTTATAATCTTCTCATGATTTTTGTAGGAATTCAATGACATAACACATTAAAGGGCTTAACGCAGTGCTGGCCATATAAGTTCCCAGCAAATGTCATCCCAAATTCTCTGAGCCTCAGTTTTCTCAGCTGTGCAATGGAACCAGTAACTCTGCGTGGCCTCCTTCCCTGCCTGCTGTGAAGCAGTAGCCATGCACACTTGGCATGCCCTGCAAGGGACAGAGGCCATGAGAGGCACTTGTTGATCATTCATCTGTGGCAGGGACAGTGGGCTGGGTATTGGTAAGACCAGGAGGACGCATCAGAGAGCCTCTACCCTCGTGTTGCTCACAGTGTAGTAGGGAGCAGAGCTCAATAACAAATGCATCATCTAAGTGGTGGTTCAGTTGTTCAAGGAGAGACAAGGAGCAGATATCTGGGCGGGTCTAGGGAGCTGCCTTCATGGCTTAAGCTGAGATCTGACGCGGCAGGGATAACTAGTGAGAAAAGTCAGGGAAGAACATTAGCGGAAGTTCCCAGCACGTGCAAGAGCCCTGTGGCAGGAGAGCTGGTTGGAGGCACAGATTTGTCCAGTTAAGGGTGAAGGGAGAGGAGAAGGGCTGGGAGAGATGGGCGCAACTCTGCTGAGCTGAGAGTTTGATGCTCTCCCTAGAGCCATGAAAAGTCATGGGAGAAAACAAAGGCAGGAGTAATGTGATCACATTCTTCCCTCCCCCCCCCAAAAAAATTCCTTTAACTGCTGGGTGGAGACCGTAGAAGGGAGCAGAGGCTGCAGAGACCCACCAGCGAGGGGCTGCCGTGGAGGACCCGAGAGGGCCTGGCTCCAGTGACAATGAAGCTGAGAACCAAAAGCTGAGGTCCCAGGGAGACTTGGGGCTGGAGGCCACCCTGCTACACCCAGTCTCTTAACCCTCACCCCTCTGGGCCCTGTACCCCAAGGTTTCTCTTCCATCCAGTTCAGACGGCTCTTGTTATTGTGGGACAGACTCCATGGATGACTCATTCAGGATTTGGGTTTCTTGCTCCAGCTGTTTCCCTTCCCCAGCTCTCCCCAGCTACTTGGAAGGGCCTTCGGACCTCGCTCTCCATCTAGGGAGGCAGCCAGGAGCCCGCCAGCCAGGGGAGGTCTAAAGGGGAAGGCGTTGGAGCTCTGCCAGCCTCAGCGCTGCCCATGCACTCTGCACACTGGAGTCTTGCTCATCCTCTTCCCGGCCAGGGGAAGTCCTGTTCGTCTTCCCAGGACCATCTCGGAGAGCCCAGCCTGACACCCCAAGGTCATGTTGCCCCTGTGCTCAGCATCACCTGTCTTTCCATTACTCCCTCAAGAACCTACCTTCTGGTGAAAGGCAGAGGCAAAAAAGTTGCTGTGGACACAAGTAGGAAAGAAGTCAGAGGTTTCCCAGAGGAGCGGAGTTATGTTCCTGAGTTATGAAGAATAGAAGTTCACCATGGGGAAAAAATAAGATCTTCCAGGCCAAGAAAACAGTGTGTGACTAGATATGGGGGTGGATGGAGAGTCCTTTCTGCATTGTGAGAAAGGGCCCCAGTGCACATAGATATTTGTCAAATGAGTGAATATCCGGGAAGAACCCTGAGAATTTGCTATGGCTGCAAGCTGGTGGTATATGGGCCAAACCAAGCAAACAGAGAGTTTAAAAAACAACCTAAAGCTGACTGAGTTGCCAACACTTAAAAGTAAGGATGCTTCACATGAACTCTGAAGCTCACTGAGTCAGCTCAATGGAGCCCACCTGGGTCACTTAGCTCATTCATGCTACTGCTTGGACCCCACAGGCATCTGAGTTTACACCCCGATCTCGGTGATATGCTTCTCAAGGTTCTGGACAGCAAGCTGCCACCAGGGCCAGGCACACAGTGGACGCTCAGTGCAGTTAGCGAGGTAGAGGGACAGTGTGGTGATTCTAAAATAGGTCCACACATTTCTTTACACTTCTCCCTTCCCTGCCTGAGCAAAGCCCAGGGGTAGGAGAATCAAATGTGGGTGAAATGGGAGTCTGTCATTTCTGAGACGAGATCCTAAGTGACATTGTGACTTCCACCTTGCTGTCTCTCACTGCTGTGGGTGAAGCTGGCTGCCATGTTGTTAGACACTCGATAGAGGTGTCCACATGGTGAAGAACAACCCACAGCCACTCCAACTTGCCCACTACATGAGCAAGCCACTTCAGCAGTAAATCCTGCAGCCCAGCAAGGCTTTGGTTAGCCGCAGGCCCAGCTGACAACCT